GCCGGCGTCTCCTCCATCGCGCGTCGCTACGGAGATGCCGGCCCGAGGCGCCGCTGTTTGCGCCCGCAGAGCCGCTTTGGCTCCTCGCGGCGGCCGCTGCGTCCTCCCCGTTACTCAGGGCGCCTACGGACGTTTCCCCCAATCGGCACCTCTGCCTGACGCGCGGGCCCCCCTCTCTTGTCCCTTGGCCTCCTCTCTTGTCTCGGTGTTGCGGGTTCCTTCGTTTTGTGTCGCCCCTCAGAGCCGGCTGAAGCCTCGTCCTCCTCCTTCCCACATGAAACTTCGCTCTCCTTCCTGCGCGTTCTGCAGCGGTGGCTACGGGGCCCGTTTTGGTGCTTGTACAGGAAATGCTGCGTGGCTGGTGCTGAAACAGCGTCTGTGTGTTTCACGGTAACCCCAGATGCGAGCTGCCCTGTGGGGCCTCGGTGACCTGAGCGAGGTGTCTCCGTTTTTCGAAACACAGCAACCAACTGACATAAGGCAGAGCTAAAATCTGGCGTGGCTGCCTCCATAAAATCTTGCCTTTTTGAGTGCTTTCAAACAAATCTTCCACTGTGCACAGGAGTTCCTGCAGCCCGGCTTTCCCGCGATAGGACTCACGTCTCTGCAAACATTTGAGACTATCTAACACTGAGTTCTGTCTTAAAAGGACGGTCCCAGTCTGGATGGTCCCAGAACAGACCCACTCTGCTCTGTTCTGACCCGAAGGGGTGAGTTCAGCTGCTCCCTGGCAGAGAGGGACCTTTGCCGGGGTGGTTCCGCGACGGCTTCGGGAGCTGAACCAGCTCAGCAAGGAGCCAGGCCCCTGCGCCAGTGGGGATGTTACCACGTCCCTTGTCACGGTGCCGTCCACCCCTCCAGGAGCTCGTGTGCCAGGGAATATGGTGATGATGATGGTGACCATAGCACGGACATGGCGGAGCCAGGGGCAGCTGTGGTGCCTGCCAGGCGTGAAGGGTCTCAGCCTGTCCTAGGGTTTTCTATGCACCCGTGCCTGTAGCATAGTCACTGTTGAAGCTTTGCAGTCAAGGAGAGAACTTTTGCTGGGCAAGGAGCAGCTCTGCAGCCTTACAAGGGTGTTGTACCCAATAAATGCTCAGCTTTCCATTTTAGCATCCTCCACTATCTCGAGAGTTTTCTTAATCATAGATTGTTGACACTACTGACATTACTTTGACTTTATCACCAATGCTTTTGTTGCCTGACTTCACTGTAATCACTTTTTATCATGCTTTTTATTTTCTTTTCTCTTTTTGTTGCATTATTGAGTGTTTTTATACAATGTCAATTTGTATGGCAAAATTCTTGGTGTTTATTCTTGTATAAAATGTTAGGAAATCTTATATTTTATCTATGCAAAAACTGTCTTATTAGTGTTTCTTATTTGTATTTCCTTTTTTTTTTGCATTTGTTGATACTTATTTTCCTTTCTCATGCTTTTAAGAAGCATAAGCTAAAGATATATGAATAATAATAAAATAATCTGTTGTACTTTTTCTTCTTTAAAAAGTAATTTATACTGGACAGGAACCTTTTAAACTGTTCTTTCAGTGTTATAGAAACATCTTCTTTTTATCATGCATATTTCTCTTCATTTGGTTGTTTTCAAGCAGATTGTGGAGGGCTGGAAACGTCTTGCTCTTTTTCATATTGCTACTTTATTGGTAAATCTCAGTGGATGCTAATAGGGGGGAGAGTTGAGAATCACTGTAATGCCCTCCCTTTTCTCCTTCTGTAGAGCTTAAGCCACTAGATGTGAAGTTGTTTGGATTCTTTAAGATCGAGTTTTGTACCTAGTTCTGACCTCTTTTTTGTTGCTCATCCACCACAGTTCTTCTTTGCTACATTCCTGGGTCTCTTCTATGTATCCTAAGCTGCATTATTGGCATTTTTCTAATACTAAATTACTTTTCTCTTTCTGTCACTTGTCAGCATCCTGGAAAAACAGCTGAAAAGTAATGCTGGACATGCCAGGATCATCAATGTCTACAAAAATGGTTTTGGATGGAGCACACTGGTTTTAATCTCAGGTCACTCATGCTTCTTTTCAAATGAGACTGACAAAAAGCACAAGGAACAAATTAACCCCTTTGCACAGCTCTGTAACTCATCTCTGTCCAGTTGTGTGTATATTCTCTTTGCATAAAGGCAAGATATTCTGTGGAGTTTCACAGAATTGCCATAGTTTGCAGTTTATTGCTTGCTAATGACTGAAGCAGTGCCAAAAACATTATTTTTAACTATCAGCGGTTGAGATTGGAGGAGGAAAAAATTATGTTCACCTTTTGGTGAGGGCGAAACATAAGGAGAAGGGAATTGCTTGTTTCTGTCAAGGGAGATTTTTATCTTTAGGCAGTGAATTCAATTTCAGGTCTCCTAAAGAAATAAAATTAATCCCATCTGGAGAGGGAAAGTGCAGGGTTGTATAGGAAACATTACGGCAGGACTGTGCTGCTATCCCTGAATGGTGGGTGTATTTTTGGTCGTTCTCTGTGGCCAGCTTCAAAAAGAAAAAAGATTTTAAATTCTTTTCTTCCTATTCTACTTACCAGGTAGAATCCAGGTCTGTAAACTTCAAATTTAGTTTTTAACCTGAAGTTAAACTTGTACAGGAACAGTTGTTCTCAGCTTTCGGTTTCTGGTATTTCATCATTTGTACTGACAAGTAGTAAATCTTCAGGCTAGTTCTGCAAGTGTTTAAGCTGTAGGACTGTTTATATTTAACTCAATGTTTCTTCATTGCACAGGGACTTTTTTTCTGGTTTTGACTTGTAATTCAAGAAATTTAGGAGTTACGTTTCACATTGCTTGAGAGGTTTATGTTTATTTTTGAAGTAATATAGTTAATAAAATTCTGATGAGAGGAAATACTGAATGTTGCTCATCCAGAACTGCACAAAAATATGTACTTTTTACTGCTCAACTTTTATTTTTCTGTCCCCTCCTTCCTATTTTAGTGGATATTTGTTAAACTTAACAACTGTACTCAGCAAAGATACTGAGATATTGCAAGTAATAGTTGGCATGTTCCTTACTTCATATGAGTTATGTGGATAAGTGTGATTTAGGATTTAGCTTTGTGTCTAAGTGGTGAACACCAGAGAAAGAGAGCCTCATTAAGCATAATAGTCTTTAAATATTCAGATCCCTTAACATCTCCCCGGCATCTGCAATCACAAAACACAAGGTAGGTTATTTACTTCCTTCTGGACAACTGTTCTCATCAATAAGAACTTGAGGCCTCAGATTATGGAGTATCTTTCACACAAAGGACAGGGATGTTGTTTTGTTTCTGAGAAGTACTGCAGGTAGTGCCATTCTGCTACAGAAACCTACTTCAGAAACTGAACTGCAAAGAAAAGCTGAAGGTCTTTATGATCAGGTGAATTCTGTGTTTTGGAAACAACTGGGATATTGAGAACGGCCTGCGCCCTGTCAGCAAAAGGAAAACATCTAGTGTGTTGAAGTTCTTGTAATATTAATTTGCCTCAGAATGGAACCATCTGTGTGTGTGTTTTTTTTTTCCCCACTGTGTTGCATGCAGGATTTAAAAGGTGATGTAGGTTTGGCTTCCTATACAGCTCCTTTGTCCCTTCATTTCATGTAGACTGAATAAGATGCAAGATACGGGCAAGAATGGGAGAAAGAGGAGCACTGTTTGCTAGTTACTACTGAAAACTGTACCGTAATATGTATCTCAGAGAGGAAGAAATGGGATCACATGGGGCAACCACAGCTTGGGTACCTGAAGTAGCTGTGTGGAATGTGAAAGCCTTTACTAATGCTACCCATAGGATTTCACACATCCCATTGATTTTGCTTCTTGCTGTTGTACGCCTAGGAAGAAGGTAAAATTGCCTTTTAAACTGTCCCACAATTGCTTCCCTTACATCATCAGAGCCAAAAACCTAACTCTTGGGTTGGGTTTTACCACTTGAAGCAGGGGCCTGACAGCCCTAATTGGCAGCAGGGGAAGACCCAAGGGCCGCCCAGGGAATAAGCTGCTGGTGCTGTGGGCTGAGCCGGGATGTGGGGGTCACTCCGGAGGGAAGGCAAGGGCTAAATTAGGTACTGGGTAATCGCCATGGAACTGGGCTTATTAGTATCTCAAGTGTTAAGGTAAGAAAGCCAGCAGAAAAGACTAGGGTGAGGATAAGTAACATTTATTGGTTTGGGTTTTTGTGGTTTTGTTTTCTTGTGCGTCCACACAAGCAACTGGTGTGAGGCCAGCCTCTAATTCTCGGGTGTCGTTCCACTGTTTGAACTGCATTTGATTTTGCTGTGTGTTATTTATACTTGTTCCTGAAGGGCAATGCTTGTAATCATACAGTTGGTTTATGGAAGTATTTGATACCACTTGTACCAGGAGAGCATGTGGCAGCTGCTATATGGTAAATAACCAGTGCGGAGTGTGAAGTAAATTGCTGCAGACAACCGGCTAGAAAAAAAAAAATGCTTATAGTTAAATCTTGGGTAGGAAGTTAGGAATTCTGGAAACTGATCAAGGATTTTTTTCTTTTTATTGCAAACACTAAGTGGTAGGGCTCTTCTCTGCTTCACTCCTTTTAAATATTTTTTAAATCTGAAATAGTCTTTAAGTCTGAAATAGCTATCAAAACTTTGTGCTGTGCACCTATTTTCCTTAGATTTCACTCATTTCCTCCTTTAGAGATATGTTTTAATTTTGCTGCTTTGCCTTTCCCTGTTTCTTTTAAATGCTAATATCTACAAAGTAGAACAGGATTCTCTTCCTCTGTGTCAAACTTGAAATGACTTTTTGTTCAATTTCCAATATTTTATCTTGGTATTTTAGTAGAGAAGAGCTTTATATACCTTTAAACCTTTATCTCTGCATTTGACACTTAGGCAGCATCCTCCTTCCAAAGCACTCCCCAAAGCGCTACGTAGCTTCTTGTCCTGCTATCCAGGATGAGCGCACGAGGTGCTTGTCTGCACCTGTGAGCTGGAGGAACTGGAGTCTTCAAGCAGCTCTTGCTGCCAAGAGCCTCTTTCTTGA